TCAGCACTCACCGTGCAACGCGTGCTGTAAGGATGGTCGGCTGCATGTTGGTTTACTTCGCCTCGGTTAAAACACAGACGCTCAGCTTCCCCAACATCTCCAAACGGTTTCTTCTATCGAAATGCTGACGCGTAGTCCCTCATATAACCAACAATAAGACAGTCAGGCTTATTTGATTTTATGTACAAACATTTACGTGTAAATGGTCGTTAAATTGCATTAAAGAAGTCCTGCAAGTTCCCTGTTCGGGAAGCTGTTGCACTGGATGTGATTCCGAGATCTGCAACAGGAATATTTCCCACTTTTGTTTTTAGCCAACGCTGTCTAAGCCAAACCACAGACCCGTATATGTCATTGTCTCTGATGATGGGTTCGAGCTCGGATCCGAAACTTCGGGCGAATATATCTCTTGTCCAGGCGATCGTCTCTCCTGCTTCACGACTGCTTCCCGGGACTCGTCTCTTCGTTTCCCTTGGCAAACCACGGACCATACTGAACCTCTTCTACATGGACCCATATTGCACGACCCGACACCGGTCAACATTTGTGGAGCAACTGTTTTAGTCCGCTTCAATGGGCATCAATCGCATTGGTGTGTTTCCCTGCGGTCCGATCCCAGAACTTCTGATGCATTTGGCATCCATATTGGTATTTTGCTACACCAGTTAGCAGTTCCCTTGCTTGGCAGTATTCTATCACCTCCGAGTTTATAGCGGCATTAGCGAGGATGCCTCACTTGCTTCCCTGAACAGAAGGCCACTTCAGCCCTTCGGTCAAACAGGTGATGATCTTGCTGCGTGTGGCAAGCGGTTGACGGAATCTTTACGTCTTGTCATGTTTGTGTTTGCCATGTTTGTGTTAAATGGTCTTAAGTTGGACAGGCTACTTGACGAAGACGTAAACTGCTGCCAAAAGGGTGTAGGAAGAATATTTTTTATGCATGTTTTCTACGACGTATGTTCAAATTTACAAAAGCAACAGAAATCTGTGGGAAAAGGGCCTACTACTGATGTGACCATTTTTTTCTGCGGACGGAAGAACTTCAATCAAAAGCCAGCATCCTGTCGGGTCCAAATAATATTAAAATTAGCTGCCGGATAATAAATAGCACGATACCATTTAATAAGTCGGTCATAATCAGATGATCATTTCCGTTTCGTTTAATGTTTTATGAGATCGATAGTTTACTGTGCGTTTTTATAACAACAATAGTTTGCGGATTATCTAATAAAGTAGGCGAGCGGCAGCATGAAGACGCAGTCCTCTGGGTGGAACAGAAGTATTTCCAAGCACTGTCGTTCCAAACTTTAGAATGTTTATGCGATGACCAGGACGGATTTCGTAGAGGCAGATTATGCGCGACAAATCTACTTTATTTTATAGATCGCTGGACCCGGGCAGTCGATGGCGGCGATGCAGTGCACGCAGTCTACGTCGACTCTAGGAAAGCATTCGACAGTGTACCACATCAGCGTCTCCTGTACAAATTGGGCCGGATAGGCATAAGGGGTAATCTCCTGAGGTGGATACAAAGTTTCTTGATCGGTCGCTCTCAAATCGTCCACGTCGGTGACAGGCAGTCGGCGGAGGCAGCGGTTGAAAGCGGTGTTCCGCAAGGCTCCGTTCTTTGCCTACCTTATTCATTATATACGTCAACGACTGCGTCAGTGAACTGAATTGTGACGTCGCCATGTTCGCTGATGATGTTAAACTTTGGAGCGTCATCCGAGCTGAATTTGATGAAGAGTGCTTGCAAGCAGACCTGACCCGACTCGAGAAATGCTCGCAGGACTGGCTTTTGCCGTTTGATGTGTCTAAGTGCAATTTTGCGAGTCGGCAGGACCCGATCTCTGAGCCGGAGGGTTTACCACCTAAATTACGTACCACTGCAGGAGGTAGACGCCCAGAAAGACCTGGTCTGTGGGTAACGGCTTCTCTAAAACCGTCACTCCACTGCTCCAAGGTAGCCAAGTCTGCGATGTCAGTCCTATATCTTGTCAAGAGAGCTTTCTCTACCTTCGATGAGGACTGCTTGTTTAAAGTCTTTCGGACATTTTTACGGCCACAGCTAGAGTTCACTATTCAGGCGTGGAAATCCTGGACCTCTAAAGATCTCAGCATCCTTGAGAAAGTTAAAAGACGGACAACCAAACTCGTAAGTGGACAGAGTTAACTACCCTATAAAACACGGCTATCCAATCTCGGCCGTTTCCCACTGAATTACAGACAGCTAAGAGGTGACCTGATACAAACATTCCGTATAATGCGCGGCCAGGACTGCTGTGTCTTACCTGCTGATATTCTTGAGTTATCAACCACAACGGAACTCCCAAGTCATCCACTTAAACTACGTGTAACTGGCGCCAGGCTGGACATTCGGAAGTTCTTCTTTGCAAACAGATCGATCAGGGCTTGGAATGCTCTGTCTGCAGATGTCGTCATGTCCACCTCCGTCGAGGCTTTTAAGCGCAAGTTGGACCAGCGTACCACTTAGGGTCATAATGTCACCTGACCGACATCGTCTTAGCATTTCGTTCGAACAGTTTGCCAATGTTATTATATTACTGCCTTATTACAGTAACTTTTGATTTTTATTACTGTCCCAGGTCTGGTAAATGTGAGTGTTGGCATTCAATTCGTCCCCCTAAGAAACTGGATAGCACCAATTATTCATAGACAGACCTGAGACCGCGACTCAGCTTGCGACGCATCTAGCACAGAGATGATGGAAGCTGAAATCAAACTCTGGGTCTCCCAGACGTTACGGTGTCGCAAAGCGGCTGAAAGCGGCTGGCAAGCCAAACTAATTATTCTGGTCCCACTGGCTCCAGCTGTGGTTCAAAGCCAGTCGCTGAGAGAAAAAAATGCGCGTGAACACTGTGGAATCAGTGAGGAAGATACTAGCTAAGTCATTTAAAGGACTAACTGGAGCAACAAATTATCTAAATACCCATGAGGAATCTCCGGAAAATGTAGCCCTGCAAGACAGTCCACTCTTACACTGTGCGGCTGATTTCAGCGCGGGTTTATTGCTCTTTCAGTACTTATGCTTGTGTTTTAACAGCTCAGCTCATTTGCGCTTCATCGCACCTATCTAATATCGAAGACGTGCTCTATTAATCTGATTGGCGGTATTTGCTGTATCATTGATCAACCTCTTGTTGCAGCAGAAGCGAGGAGCCGCCTTAGCACATCGCGTTATGTGAACTAACTTACTGACAGCGCAAACGTCATGCTGCCTCAGAACTTCAAGATGACGCCATCGCGCACTCTACACCTAGCGTGAGGTAAGCGTTGTGTGCATAAAATCCTTATTTACGTTTACGTAAAAGCAGTAGATGCTTGACATGCCCATAGTCCTTACCTAGTTTGAAGAAAATTCCTTCCCTTTTCATTTGGGCGCCGACTATCTAGTCAATTCGGTCTCAAAGCCTGGTACCTAGAACCAAAAATGTAAATGTTTACACGTCCACTTCCCCGCGCGGTTTGTCCACTGTCAGCGAGCAGATTCGCCCTGAATGATTTGGGCGTCAACTAAGGTCTCAGCATTCTTCGATTTTGATTCTACGGTTTTAACATTCGAATGATTCAAACGGTTTCCTGTTTCTTCGACGCACGACCTATGCGGTTGCAGAAGGTGAAAATCGCAGTCCAACCTTGAAGCTTGTGAAGTAGGAACCAAAATATCGATGGTGGCGTAACCACCGTCGGAAATTTTCAGTTTCTCGCTCAAAAAAATTCCCCAGAATACGTCATGAACCACCTAATGCCTCACCATGCTTCAATTTAGATTTTAGTTCTATAAATATAGTATATAAAAAAAGTTTTTTGGTGTATAATCGAGATTTCCACAGAAGGAATTCTCCTTTTTGAACGCTAACAAAGTCGAACAACATGTTGCTTGCTCTATGTCCAAATTTTCCTGATTGACGGAAAGCCATGCGAATTTAGTACTTATAGTTGCTGAATTCATGACAGCAAGGCTATGCATCTCATCAGACCTTATGAGATTCTGAGTGCTAAATTTTATATTTACGAAAACTTAGGGCCTCGTTATTGATATTATTTCGCTGGCATATGTAAGGATCTCAGGAACGCTCACATGCATTCAGAGTTCATTTACTTTACCCGGCTGTAAAGGCGGCTTGGAACCTACTTACTACAATCTACGTTCTGTCAGTCGTTGGGCGGTGACGAAGCTTTAGTCGGGATTTCTCCTCTCATCCTGCGCATTCCACAGTCCTTCACGTTTCACCGCGGCGAAGACTTTCGTCAGATCCACGAAGGTAGAATACAGGTGGGTCCGCATCTCCTGACACTTCTCCTGCAGTTGGCGGGCGGTGAAGACCATGTCCATGGTCCCACGGTGACGGCGGAAGCCGCACTGGCTTTCTGGCGGGAGACCTTGGTCCAGATGGTTGTTCAGGCGGTTGAGGAGAATGCGAGCAAAGATCTTTTCCGCGATGTTCAGCAAGGAAATGTTTTGATGGTTGGCGCAGATTTGGTGATTCCCTTTTCGTGTAGAGAGATTGACGATTGTGCCGTCCTTAAAGTCCTGGGGACTTTTTGACGCTACATCGCCTGAAAGAGCGCCGTCAGACTATCCCTGCGTTGAGTTTCACCGTGCTTGTAGATCTCAGCCGGGATCACGTCCGATCAGGGCGCTTTCCTGCTGGAGAGCTGCTGCACGACCACGACAGTTTTCTGGAGTGAGGGCGGGAGGTCGAGGTCGGCGGACGGACGATGGCGGCATCGGAGATGGTAGATTGGCGGTTGAGAACGTCTCTGAAGCGCTGGGCCCATCGCTGTAAGATTTGCGAATTCTCGATGTGTAAGGAACTGCAGTCGGCACTGATAAGAGGAACAGTTGCTTTGTTTGGCCGACCGTAGACAGCCTTGATCGCGGAGAAGGAATTTTTTCATTTGTTGCGGTCCGCGTACCCTTGGATCTCCTCGGCCTTGCAAACCGTCCAAGCATCCCGAATTTCCCGCAGCCACCGTTACACAAGGCGGCGAATACGGTAGAAGGTTGCTTTCTTGTCGTCGGTGGGGCGGGTGACATAGGCTTTATGCAGGTGGTTCTTCTCGGCGAGCAGGTTGCTCGTGGCGGTGTCGTTGTCACCGAACCAGTCCGGATGTTCGCAGCGTGCGCGACCGTGGACGGTCAGGGCCGTAGACTTAACTGTGTCCTGCAGTCGCCACCTTCGATTCTCCATGCAGGTGCTCCCACCAGCGGCGGCGGCAGCGACTTGAAGGTTGTCTATTCGTTGACCAAGCTCGTTGCTTGTGGTCTCCTGCGAGACTGTGGGCGAATACGCATCTGCGAGATGACGAGGCGATGGTCGGTCCACCCGTCAGCACCCGAAATCGCCTTTGTAACCAGCACGCCCCGCTGGTCTCGCCTCCGGACGGGGACACAGTCCATCAGGTGCCACTGACGCGAACGAAGATGCATCCAGGTGGCCTTATCTCGCATCAGGAAGCGGAGGAAGGTTTCTGTCAGGATGAGTCACTGTTCGCCGCAAGTTGGTAGAAGGGGCAGGTCGTTGTCATTGGAGACTCAGCACTCCTCTCCAGCAAGCATGGCCTGTACCGACGCTGACGTTAAAGTCACCAAGGACAATCAATTTATCTGCCTTCGACACAGTTTCAAGGAGGACGTGCAGGTCCTCGTAGAATTTGTCCCTTGCTGCGTCTGGGCTGGTTATCGGCGGAGCGTAAACGCTAATGATGGTGGCAAATTTGACTCCCCGAAGAAGCAGGCGGAGACAGGCCAGTCGTCCCATGATATCGTCCTAGATGGCAAAGAAGACACCCGCGTCTCGCTGCTCTGCCTTGGGGCGACCGCCTCAGAAGAAGGTGTAGCCGGCGCCCACCTCCTCCAGTTGGCCTTGCTTGAAGAACCGGGTCTCACCGAGTGCATCGATGTCCACCTTGTAGCGCGCAAGTTCACGAGCCATTAGCGCCGTCCTGCGTTCCTGTCGGCTGCTACTCGGGTTGTCTAAAAGATAAAAAACGTTCCAGGCTGCGAGAGTGAGCGAACTCACCCTATCAGTCTGACGAGTGGGGCGGTGGAAAGGAGGAGGAGGAGGAGGAGGAGGAGGAGGAGGAGGAAGAGGAGGAGGAGGAGAAAGAGAGAGCGTTACCTCGATTTTGGGTGTCTCGACCGTGAGTTTAACGTCTGCGACCACGTTCAGCCTGCAGACATTTGGTTTCCCAGCATTTGTTTAGGATGCCTTTTTAGCCCCTTCCCCTCGCGGGGGTTAGCAGTGCTATCGCTGAATAGGGCTACTCAGTTGTGTCATGCGGCTGCCACACTCCACTATGGGCTACGTCTTTGGTGTAGTGGAAAAACGACCCGAGCTAGCCTGGGACAGTCTACGACATCGCCATAAGCTTGTGGCCTCCTGTGGTGTATCAGACGGAGCCTTCTCTCGACGATGCCCATGCGAAAATCCATCCGACCAGCGAAGCCGAGATTACCGTGTGTGGAGGTGCACACACGGATAACCTCATCTGGTTTAGCCCGCCGGTCGAGGCGGTTACCGGGGTGTGGCCGCTTGGCGGAGCTTAGCTCCGAGGAACCACATGTGAGAGTTGGATGTCAGTAAATGGACGCTAGGCGTAGTGTACACCTGCAAGCGAGTGAGTGACCTACTACGACCGTCACGTGAACCCACACCCGGACACCCCTAAATCCAACAAATTGATTAAAAATCATGTTAATTTTCGTTGGTTTTAAGAATTCCGTGGAAGAAAATGGGTGGCGCAGTCTACCTTAGATTACAAACTATGACCTAGCTCATTAAATGTCCAGATAGGTACTGGGGTTGGTGGTATGACACATATTTTGTGTGGTTAGTTTTGTTTTTAGAATTAATTCAAATTCCCGAAGGAAGTTTTCTGTGGAATTCATGCTAGGTCTATTTTATTGAGGGGAAACAGGCCAAGATTGGACGAAATTTGACGTTATCTGACATCCACGTAATTTCCTATGCATTATAGAAGAACTTTCATATGATCAAGAAAACTATCAAAGAAACCCATTCTGGAAACGGAAATCGTGATTTTGAGTCCATGGAAATCAGATCATAGCAGGTGTGTAAAAGCGCATTCCTTTCACGGACACACACACACTACATGCACATATGTAGAAGCCGCCTTAAGTTATCGGGCTTTGTTATCTGAGAATCGAGATATAGGCTTCTTTCCAATGTTTACTTCCCGAAAGGAACAATTTCCTATGACAAGAAAATCAAAATTTATTCCAGTTTTTACTAAAAAAAAAAGTAGTCTACAGTTGCCCTGGAAAACGACAAAACTGACAGACATTTGGCGAGTTCAAATGGCTGCAGAGATAACTGGTGGTATAACGTCATGACACAGAAAATGAACTGTCTTCAAATTGCTGCCCCAGACTTTTCGCACTAAAACCTGACCACTAGAAGTCTGGTCGACGGGCAGTCTGTATTGCCGAACGAGAGAACAAGAGCAGGATCGGTTGGTTCCCAACGATTTGCCGCCATCAGCTGGTGGTGTCCTAGTCTCGGGTTAAAATACCGGCTGTTTGGATCTAAATCAATTGGCAATCGAGAACTCGAATCTACTGTGTGACGGTCTTGATAGAGAATGTTTAAATTCATGTGGCAGTGATTTTCCCTTGGCTTGGCCTTGTTTCGGGAGGAAAACAGACTCTGCCGTTTCCCCTGTGAGGTATCGCAAACGGTCACAGGGTGATTTGTGATCCCAGTTTGAGTGCTCTTACCCACAAAGACACCCCCGTACGCAAATTAGAGCCACTATCACCTGTTATAATTGATTTTATTCAGGTATACAATTTTAGTTGTGAGTACTTCTGAGGGGTAGTTTTCTGGCGCATTTTATGGGCAATTATAACAGCACGATGTGTGATCAAAAACTAAAACCCGCCAACCTTCACAACTCTTCTGCCTTCATTTACGGATTTATCTGATTAAATTGTTCGCTTTTTAAACGGGCCCTTGGGGTTTTTATGCAGGCCTTTTGGAGGCCATCGGTTGCTACTCACTTCCGTTCAGTAGACGAAGATGTGATCACTGGAACAGGAAATTTATTGGCCTGACGTTTCGGATTCTCACTCGAATCCAGCACCAGAGACAGTCGCAGATAAAGGTGATGGTGGCACAAGGAGTGCAGTATTTGTAGCACGTGGCTGTCGTGGAACCATAAGCGCACTGTAATTAACAGCTCTCGCAATCACCGCTGGGGTCGTAAGAACTGCGAGAGCTGTCAACTACAGTGCGCAAATGGTCCCACCGCAGCCACGTGCTATAAATACTTCACTCCTTGTGTCGCCATTATCTTTGTCTTCGACTGTTTCTGATGATCGATCCGAAAGAGAATGTGAAACGTCAAGCCAAAAAATTCCTTGTTCCAGTGGTCACATCTTCGTCTTCTGAACTCCTACCTGGAACTCGCCTGTTCGCTCCTATCGGCACTCACTTCCGTCTTGGGATAGAAGTCCCCCGTCCCAGCAGGAAGGGGGCGTCTATTCAAGGGTTCGTCATTTTGCGCTTTAGGTCATGGGACCATGGATATTTGGATCACGTTGGTTCACCATCACCCTCTGCTTGGCCATCTTCTGCCTTGGCCTGACGCTCGTCGGCCTTGGGGCAACCTGGGTAAACCGTTACTACGGCATCGTCTCTGGTGACGCTGACGCCCACCTGAAGCACGCACCTCGTCAAGGCATAAAATCACGCACTTGCGGCCTCATCTACATGTAGGTTCTCTCTTTGTTTTCCACTCACTCCCACTCGCTCTCTTTGCCGTGTCCTTCAGGTGAGAGAGAGACAGAGAGTGAGTGAGTGAGGAATTCGTTTTCTCTTTGAAGTTTAAATCCAACACTTTCAGCAAAAGGGGACTCCATTTGCTCTGGACGGAATACAAACTAACAAATCACTCAAGAATCAAATATATTTACACAAAAACAAACAACTATTATGGGGAGAGTTCGAGTCTTAGCTTCTGCGTTTCTGTCTCTTCACACGTACAGTAGGTGGGCTAACTCATGAAATGTCAACCGAAATTCCAAAATGCGTTTTCGTTTCGAAAAGATTACTTTAATAGGGTTACAAATATAATCATTAAGCAGCATAATTCTATAATACTTCAGTTACTTAAGGATGCCGGCTTTCGAATGAACATCCTTCCGTCTGCATGCAAAAACCACACTCTGTAAAAAATGACTATTTATTTGGCATGTATTTTTTTCACTGATTTTCGAGGCCCCTAAAAGTCTAGTTATATTTCATGGAAAACATGCACAAAGATATTTATGCTTTTGCTCATTCGGTAGACAATTGCGTCTTCTTCCAATTTTATACTCCAAGGAAGGGGATAATTCGGCTTTTAAAAACTTTCCATACTCCCGAATGCTTTTGGGTTTGGCCTGCCGTTACACTTGCATTCAGAGTTTCCAATCTACAAACCTTCTATTTTCCGCGTATGGGAAACCATATATTTCCTTATTGTACTAAGTGGAGATCATATGGAGTTCATAAAATTTAGCAATGGATTTGAGCCATATTGTTAATTTTACAGGCCGAATTGGTAAATGCAGAGACATGATGTTTTATGAACGGCCATTTCGCAGTTATAAAAATCTCACAATTAGAAACGTTTTCAAAACCAAATTATACCCTTCCTTGGAGTATAAAATTGGAAGAAGACGTAATTTCCTACCGAATGTGCAGAAAAGTGAATATTTTTATGCATGTTCCCCATAAAATATACCTGAATTTTTAAAGGCATAGAAAATCAGTGAAAAAATGCGTGCTACGTATGTACTCATTTTTTACAGGGCCTAGTTTTTGCATGCAGATGAAAAGGAGTTCGTTCGAAATCTGGCATCCTGATGTAACGGCATTATTTTAAAGTAATGGCGCATGATAATTAGTTTTACAACCTCACTTAATTAATATTTTCGAAACGAAAGGGAATTTTGGAATTTCAGTTGACATTTCATGAGTTAGCCCACTGTTGTAAGACAGCATGCCAGGAATGGCTATGCAGAGTTCTGAAATGCCGAGTTACAGCAGGAGATTCGGTTCAGTTCAGTTTATTTGAGGGAAACTTAAGTGCTGAATCTTTTAACTCCCTATTTGCCACAAGGAAGGGAAGTATATCCAAAATCTTAAAACGAAAACATCAAACAGCTACAGAACTTTGCCGAAACCGGGCAGATAAACAAGTTCTTGCAAGTGTTAAAAACACTAACACTACTAAATTCCCTGTATAAAAGTCAGTCTACGCATAATTCTGCTGTGGAAAATTGGCACGGTCTCAGTTATATGGGGAAGACGATGTTAATGCCAACATTCGCGTTCAGCGGACTTGGGACGATAATTAGGCAAAAACAAACGTTACTTAAATACGAACAGTAATAGTAAAACAGTAATAAACTGTGAGAACGGAATGTTAAGGCGGTATTGGTCGGGTGACACTATGATGTTTAGAGGTATACTGATTCAACTTGCGCTTAAAGACCACGACGGATGTGGACATGACGATATCGGCAGGCAACATTCCAAACCTCGAACACTCTCATGGAGAAGGACTTCCGTGTTTCCAGTCTGGCGCGGTCACAAGGAGTTTGAAAGGATGACCTCGGAGTTTTGTTGTCAAAAGCCACGGTACATGGGGCAGGAGGACTTTATAGCATTGAGTTCAAAATGTAAGGGATGGACAACGTCATCTAGAATTCGTCCACCAAATTGCTTGAGCGTTTCGAAATGTCGCTACAAGATAATATCGATCAAAATGACATCAGAAACACCGGCAGCGGTAGAGAGCATTAGGAGTACTCGTTTTAAATTTAGCACATCTTTGTGAGCAAAAAAAGATAAGGGTCAGTGGAATAATAAAGAATGAGAGGGAGAATGCAAGCATCTACTGATCGCCAGATTAAGGATTGAGGAGTACGGTAGGAACTTAACGACGAATTTAATAAAGAAGTTAATGAATTTTAAGGATTAGGGTCTCAATATGAAGGGTACTTAAAACAAAAAACGAACGAAAATGGACGTTAGTTGAGAGACTTTCTGGCAAGCCGATGCGGTTTTCTTGAACCCATAAAAGATGTGCGTTGCCGCGCCCAATAGACAAAGGGACAGACCAGGCCGACAGGTGTGTATGAAACCTCAAATACGGAGCCCAAATACCGGATCTATCTCAACACCGGCCGAAAAAAACCAATCTTGCCTTTGACATTTGCGATGTGATCATTAGGCCGACCATAGACGACTGATGTGTGGTCATTCCATAAGAATACTTAAGATGTCATAGCCAAGGCTGTGTCAACTGGTATGAGGGTGGAATTCTCGGCATTAAGTGATGCCGACTGCTCGACTGTGAGACGCCTGGCTCCCACCAGTCCTGATAAACCACATTTTCCGCCCTGTCAGTGGGACAGGATTGCAAAGCAAAGGAGAGGTGTCAGTGCTACAGTAGGTGGGCTAACTCATGAAATGTTAACCGAAATTCCGAAATGCGTTTTCATTTCGAAAAGATTAATTGAATAGGGTTGTAAAACTAATCATCTTGCAGCATAATTCTATAATAATTCAGTTACCAGGGGATGCCAGCTTTCGAACGAACATCTTTCTGGCTGCATGCAAAAACTTAGTTCTCTGAAAAATGACTACTTAATTAGCATGACTGTTCATCTTTAATTTTCGATGCCTTTAAAAATTCAATTATATTTCCTAGAAGACGTGCACAAACATATTCATTCTTTTAGTCACTCCGCAGAAAATGACGTCTTCTTTCAAGCTGTTATTCAAAGGAAGTGTATAATTCGGTTTTTGCAAATTTTCCCAATTCCCGAATAATTTTTAATCTGATATACTGACTTGCGTTCAGGATTTCCAACCTAAAAGCCGTATATTTTCCGCGTACACAAAACCATACATTTCTCTATGGTATTAAGAGTAAACCATATGGGTTCATTAAATTCAGCAGTAAATTTGGGTCACATTATTTACTTTACAAGTCACATCGGTAACGACTTATGAGCGGCCATTTCAGGGCATTAAAAAATCTCACAAGTAGACACTTATTGAAAACCGAATTATACACTTCCTTCGAATGTAAACTTGGAAGACGAAGTAATTTTTTAACGAATGAGCAAAAGAATGAATATTTTTATGCATGTTTTCCATGAAGCATAATTGAATTTTTAAGAGCATTGAAAATCAATCAGAAAAGGCATGTTAATTAAGTAATCGTTTTGTACAGAATATGGTTTTTACATGTAGCCAGAGAAAAGTTCATTCGAAAGCCGGCATATTGAAGTAACTGAATTATTAAAGAATTATGCTGCACGATAACCAGTTTTATAACACTGGTTAATTAATCTTTCCAAAACGAAAACGCATTTTGGAATTTCTGTCGATATTTCACGAGTTAGCCCACCTACTGTAGGTCTGTCTCGCTCTACGTAATCACACCCACGCCCAGGTCATGAATACTTCCTGGAAGTGGCAACGTCCTCTGCCCGAGTGAATGGATTTTCGGTGTGATGAGTCGAAGTAACTAATTTACGGGTTTACTCCAAGTTAGCGATTAAATTCTGGGGAATTTAAAAGGCTGTGAGTTCAAAACTGTAGTATCTACCAGAAAAGCACAAGGGGAACCCACTGATGAGCCAACTTCTCGCAGCAGTGTCATGCAGCGACAGAATATCAGCGAAACATACGTGTCTGGGCTTTTTACTAGTATCTCTGCTGTCAGGTACAGCATGTCGTGCGACCTATGCAAATAAAATTGACCGTCTGTTGACAGTTTATGAATATTACGCAATCATTCCGTTGTGGCTGTTGGACTCTGGCCCAAATACTCATATCAAACTCCAGTGCGAATTTACAGGACTCGAGCATACTGATTTACTCCAAGTTATCGATCAGTTTTTGGGGAAATTAACAAGCTGCAAGTATATCTTTCTTTTTTATTAAGGTTTGAAAATGGCTAAAAAGCTCGCAGAGTAGATGAAAATAACCCACAGCGCATCGACCCGTGCCTTTGGTGCTAACCAGTAGAATTTAAATCAATAGATCTTAGCTTCAACTCCAAGGACGCCCTTTCTGGGTTTTAGTTATGGCCTCACATTTTCATGGCATCCGTCGCAGCCCTTTAAAACCTAATTTCTCTCATTTTCTTCTTATATATATTTTCTCTCACGTTGATATCTTTCATTCTTATGAAGCTTCAAGCAAATTTTTAAAAACCTGTTTAAAATGAACCCTACGTGCTCGGGAGATGCTGAATTCCTGAGTTCGATTGTCGAGAGAATTTGAACCCTGCTTTATAAACTCCAGTCCATACTCATTGGTGCGGCGGTAAAGGGAGGCTACTGGCAGAAGTTACATCATGAAGTTAAGTTTTAATCGATCTTCATGGTGAAGGTTTGCTACCCCAACACTTACCCTCCCTCCCCACTCTCCCACAGATCCTTTGCCAGCGGCCTGTGGATGACGGTTGTCGGAACGCAGGTGATTATTCTCGCCTTCGTGCTTTTCGGTGTATCACTCTGGGTGAGGATCACTTGCACAACTTTTGAACGACGTAGACTGGATGTGCTTTGGTGAGAATGCTGTTTCAACTCATCAATACGCCTTTTGAAGCTAATGAAGTGTCAACAACTACGAAAGTGATTGAATAGCATACACCAAATGACCGATCTCGTGAAATGTTAGCCGGAATTGTAGAAAATATTATCGGCTTGGGAGAGTCACGCAGACGGGCCGTAATGTACGCTTCGTTTGAATATGAAATCAAAAAACACTGTAATTTTCCACCAGATATGCACACCAAAGAGTATTTTTGTGCACATTTTCTGAAAAAATATATCTAGATTTATAAGGTTATTGAAAATTTATTCATACCACAGAGAAAGCCATTCTCGCCAAGTGCGTTTTTTTAGACGGTCGAGAAGAAGTGCTTTCAAAAGCCAACATAATTTTATGTCTGAAATATCACGGCATTATGCCGTAAGATGACGATAGTTCGACTGTCGCATCCGACGATGTCACCCGCATGCTCCCCAGTTAGGTGAAGTAGGCACAGTGACTTGCGCGTGAATAAGTTTCTAGGGAGGGTGGACTTGCGCAGTGTCTACCGCACTCCGTCCTCCCCACTGGGTCCGGTGTCAAGACAGAGTCAAGAAGACCGAAGGTGGGGAGGGCGCAGGTAGAAGGCGCGGCCGATCCCGCATCTTGACGCTCCACTCCACACCCCTGGTCCACAACAAACACTTGGCCAAGATTTTGACCAACAACAACAACAGAAAAGACGTGGATGAATGTGCAGCCATGCACTCGACCTGTGTAACCAGCTGGAGCACAAACGCAGCTACCGGAGAATTGCCAGCACACACCTGTCTGCGAGGCTCATGGTTTGCTGATCATGAAATTGCAGGCGTTCTCAATTTTTGGGACGCAGAAGTGCGGCACTCCGCCCTGCATTTGCCTGGTCCCTCACTCTTTATGGCCTGGGTAATCAGTCAGTCCGCGACTGGAAGGCCCTCCTCACATGGGTCAGAGTACCACAGGTCAGTTTAGGAAGGAGCCGTGACAGCCTTGCTCTTAGCCCACCAGCCCGCCACTCCACACAAAAACAAACACACAGCTGGACAGACTTCGTGAAGTGAGTTGGGTCGTCAATCTGCTGCCTTCCCAGCCACAGCGCTCGACGCACCGTGGCAGTCTCAGACTCGGATCCCATATGCGGCAGGGGAGCCGCGTGGGAACGGAGCCGAAAAGTACACTTTCCACTTGCGCGAGATGCGGCAACTGAGTGCTTGCAGTGGTGATGGTCTTGTGTGATGCGGGTGCTGGTGGGGGGATGTGTGACGTAGCCGACGGTTACCTACCGCAGGTTTTCGTGAATGCGCATGTGACCTAATAAGCCCATGCGGTGGGCGCATTCTCGGGGGCAGTGATAGCAGTTGAGGCGGGTGCTATGAGTGTAGATTGGTGCTCCAGACACTGGTTCGCCATTCTCCCTGCGATGGATGCGCAAATGACCGATCAGGCCGATGTGTGAAAAGAATGTTCGATCGCTATGCGGACAGGTATGAATCGAGTTCACATCGCCGGAAGTGGGAGTGTCGGTGGTGATGGTGGAAGGTGATTGGACATCAGACCTCGTCCCATCGGTGGGGGGAGTACGTGAAAAACTGGTGGTGGTGGTGGTGGTGGTGGTGGTGCTGGTGGTGCTGGTGGTGCTGGTGCTGGTGCTGGTGCTGGTGGTGCTGGTGCTGGTGGTGCTGGTGCTGGCCGCTGCGGTCGATGCAGGGGTTGGGGTAGGACGAATGGTGGCGGCGCGACAACGACAGTGTGATTGGCGGTGTCGGGAGTGGCGGTCGGCACGGGGTTAGCGTCAGGGATGGGAGTGGGAAAAGAGGTAGACGATGTAGTAAGATAATCGATATGACCACCCCTCCTAAGTAATCCTTTCTAACTGAAGTCGGTTTCAGAATTTCACTTAACATTTCATGGGATCGGTCGTTGTCTGTACATCCTGGGAATGTGCTCGTTTCCCGCTTGATGGCGCGTCTACATCCGTATTCAGGTAGATCTGCCTTCAAATCGTGTTATAGCTGACTGTTGACGACTAATAAACCAGGAAACATTCCAATCTCCTAGTTCCCTGATTCAACATTCTGTAGCAATTAATTCACAAAAGTTACTGACCGAATATGAGTGCACTTTGAAGCAAAGCTTCTTGACTGAATTATGTTCTAAAATTTCAGATTATTCGTCAGTCGCGGAAAGACAACCTCCAAAACTTTGCGCAAGGAAGTGTTATCCTATTTTCCGCGTTCCTGTTTTAATAAAAAATCATCTTGCGTTCTCTTTCTGGTCTCTACGACTTTCCTGCTGGCCAACGAAAAGTAAACAATTAACAAAAAATATTGTTTCAAATTCAGTGTGCTCCAGCCCGATTCTGGAATTTTTTGGAGTTCATTTGGATTGCTGGTCTTTAAAAGGAGGCACTGGTCAATCGTCAATTGTTCACCGAATGAATTCACTGGATGTCCACTTGGGAGAAGGAATCGTTGGTCGTCGTTTGGTTGGTCGGTCATCAGAAAAGTCGTTAACCATTGGTGACTTGGTCGCCAGAATAAAGCACTATTCATTGGTCAGTTGGTCAATGGAAGAAATCACTGAATGATTGCTTCCTGTTGCGGTATGTTTCATGTGCAGTGCAGATATGCAGCTGAGTCACATAGAAATGGCATCCATCAATCTCTCTTGATTGCAAGACTAGAAAAAGCATAGTGTATTCTCCTTGTAGTACCACGTCAAGAACCCTTGGTAAAGGTTGCCTGACGGAAGAAAATGCACTTACTTTAAAAAGTCAAGCAAGACTGCATCGAATATTGCAGCTTTATCCACAATCTTCAGCTATTCATGCTCAAGGCTCAGGCGGACACCCGGATGATTCAGTCGGGTTGACTGTTCATCAGGTTCATCGATTCAACAGTTCCGCTGCTTGAGTTACAAACCCACCCCCTCTCGGTTGAGATTAGGAACATGCAGGAACGGGAAGATTTGCCCTTCCGCTTAGTGAGGTCTTCCAGTGAAGATGGTGGAAATCGACGTCACTTGTTGAAAGGGCGTCCACAGCCAGTAACCACGACTTATTTCTGGGGGTCTGAACAGAGGGAGGAAGGTCAATTTAAAAATGCTTCCGTAATTCATTAGACATTGTGAAGGAGGTAGTTTGGAATTGCTGGCTAAGTAGAATGATAGATTACACTCCACCAAGTGCAATTTAAGTACTCCACTGACCTGAGGCCAGACCAATTTACGTCGCTTCAACTTGTAAGTAGATATCACCATGCATACGAAGGGATTGGGTGTGATGAACTGTAAACTAGGCGAGTATTTTCAGAAGGTAACAAGGAATGACAACCGATCAAAAAGTTCTGATGACAAAGGTTGTTCCATTCGATGGGAACATCTCCGATATTCCCTGTCAAGAATGCAGACGTCTTGACTCACTTGTTCACTTGGTCGCCAGTGAATTTAGTGATAGACAAAAAACTGCTTACAACTTCTTTTTGAAAATGTTCCTCGATCAGCTCGGCCAGTTGATGTGGAAACTAATTTCCTGTACTCGTGTGGTTTCAACTACAAAATAGCATCTGTAAACGCCTGCCCTCCCGCAGCAAGTGGTCTGCCTGTCTTATTTAAGGTGTTTTCACCAATCGAGGTTTATTCTATCCTTGTCCATCGAGATTGTGTCTCTGCGTACATGGAAAATGCAAAATGTTTCCTTTGTCACTACCTTGCCCACTGGAGCGTAGAATCCGGTCACTTTTCTAACGTAAACCCACATTCCATCAGTCAAATGCTCACTAACTCGGTCATAATACAAGTGACCGTGAGGATTCAGCTGCCCCTACTCCTGCGACATCTGACTCCCTTACTCATACGTCTTCCTCTCACTCAGGCCACTAAACGCATTCGCCTGCCCCTACATCAGCAGCAGCAGCTCCAGTTTTCGTTATAATCCTCTTGGTAACTTCCTAGGATGCATGAAAATCCGTCTTAATCAGTCAGACCGATAACTTCCCCATTTCAACGGTCCCTGCAAGCTCTACAGTTAAGTCGGGATCAGGACGGTGAGACTCCAAAATCGAATTACACTCTTACCCAAAAGAAAGGTGGCCTTTCCTTAGATCTACCAAGCTTTTAGATAGATAGATAGATAATTTTTTATAAAAGACGCGTCGGGGTCCCATCGAAGCAAGTGAAAATAAATTTGCAGGCGAGTGTTAGACGAGGTAGGCCGAATCTTTACAAAATTTAATCAATTTCAATTTAATTTAATTTATTAAATGCCAGTTTACAGGCATTATCAAGGGAAGCGATTAAACACAAATCCGACCAGCAGTGAAAAAAAAACTCCTGAAGGATAAAAATATAGTTGATGATGGTTTTTATGGTTTAAGGGGTTCAGGAGAAAAAAAACTGCTGGCGGTAGATTTTCGACCGTCAAGAAAGGGAGGAGAGGGTTGCACGGTATCGGAGATCATCGGACGTCAATTCCTTTCATAAAGTTAGGGATAGTCAAAGTAGAGGCGTTGAGAAACAGCTGGTGAGACCGGCCATAGTGTTCAGAGACCACAAACGCCATCGCTACGGTAGAGTTGATCAGTGGATTCAGAACCCAAAATTTGTGGGAGCTTTCCTAATTGCAAAAATCGAGTAGTAGTTCTCTTAAATAAAGGATAATTTTGCAGAGTTTTCACACTCACGGGTAGTTTATTCCAAATAGCAATTGCATTTACAGAAAAGAACCGACGATATTTAACAGTACGTGCCAGAGGCAGAAATAAGAAGACCTCACGGTGACTGTTACGTCGTGGGTGAATATGATGTCTTAAAGAGGTGAGCGGGTTAAATGTGTGATTACATAAGAGCTTAAATAGCAAAAATAGTCCCTTTTGTAATCTACGGAACCATAAAGGATCGAGGCCTGTAAGCCGGCAACGTTCTTGGTAAGACAAATGTCGGTGTTCCGGGGTTAAAATTCTCTTGGTAAAAAAGTGTTGAACGGATTCTATTTTCTTCCGCTC